CATAGATTTTAAAACTCCAACCTTTGTTTTGTAACTATGATTGGAGAAGGTAAGTAAAAAGCCAGCATGTATTGGATTTCTATAGACATCCCTGCTTAACTTCTCACCTGCTCTGATCACTGACACATCACCATCTTCATTGTCAACTTAACATTTCAGTCATTCTGATTAATAAAACACAAGAAATTATCTAAACTATCCTTGCCATGCTGCCATATGGCAAAGTAGTCATCCATATATCTAACTAACATTTTGGATGTCAATCTAACCTCTTCCATGAAGTGCTCCTCCATTCTTGACATGTAATTATTAGCTAAAATGGGAGCCAAGCAAGATCTCATTGCTGGTGGCTTGGCCATGAGTTGTCTTGATAAACAGGATAACTAGGTTATGAATAAGTACAACGCACACATCCGGCTATATGTTATTGTGAAAACAGCAAAAAGATTAATGGGAAGTTTATTTGAATAAAAAATAAGTATAGGGGATGCCCCAGCCATGATAAATTAGTATGTGCAGGAATCAGAACGCCGCCGATTTCTGTCGTAGCAGAGGCTAACTGATCTTGTCCAGAAGATCTGTCAAAGAAATGGGATACCACTCTCCATCCTGAGTATTTAAGTGGAAGGCCACATTTCGGTCAAAGTAGATATGAATTCTTTCCAGGAGATATACTTGCTTGCCTTCATAAGAACGATTTGCAATGGGATGAAACAGGAGGCCGCGCTCCATGGCTGTATTTTCCAATTGTTCACGTAGTGTTGCAGCAGGCAAATTTCGTTGGCTTAGGGCGAGATGTGCTAAGCCAGCTGGGCCTCTCAGATGAGCAACCTGACCAGGAGTTGAAGCTGGGAACTGACCGGGTACACCGAAAGGTGCGGTAGGTGCACTAAGTTCCTGAAATAGTGAAAGGTCTGAGTGGTAAGTGTAAGTATTTGATTGCTGTGGTTTTAAGAGAAAATTGAAATAGAGCCTTCTCAAGGGAATGGGGCAGTGGGGTCGTCTTTACTTTTTACTATGACGAGTTGTAATGCGGTGCTAAATATGTCGCTTCTCACTAGTGATGCCGAATAAATTGTCTTAAAATGCACCAAACCAGTAATCCGATAATGCAAATTATCATTACTTCTATAGCAGGAAAAACGAGACCGGATAGGTTCTTCAAGGCGCCTATCACCATGACAATTTCCAAAGCGAAGTTAAATTGACTCCATATAGCAAAAGGAGACTGCGATCAAACAACATGCCATATTGGTATTCATATCTACGATCAAGAATAGCCGTTTATATTCATATTGGGCGCGTCGATATTAACTCTAGGTGAAATAAAGTGATTAAGGACTAAAAGTTGAACTTTTACTATTTATATGAGTAGGCTTCACGATACCAATGAGCTTGACTTCGCACTGTCTCCGAAAAATTATTCTTAATCAGGATTGATTAGTCCCTACCTCGTCTTATTATCATAAGCACCGCAAGCAGGAATCAGAGTTATAGGATGAAGAATTGGTCAAATAGATTCAACAATCTGGGCCGCCAAAGCATATGATATAACAGGGATTACAAAATTAAAATACGGATAGATAAAGACGCTCAAAAGTGGATACACCCACCCTCATAAAAGGCCAATTTACACATCTTTCTCATCTCAACAAATAATGTGAAAAGTACGGCAAAACCAATATATTCAGTATTCTTCGAAACCCAGTTTCTCTTTATCTTCAACTTAAAGACGAGAAGAATTTTCGCACAAAGTGATACTATATTAGCACACCGAGATCCCTAAGCTGCACCTCTCATCAGGGTCAACCTATATCTGTACAGCAAAAAGAGATTTAAGGCAAATTAGAAGATACACCTGCTTAGTCTTAATATTTTCAATTAAATTTATAATTACTAATACAATCAAACAGGATAGTTGTATTCACATTGAGTAGGTTTCGAATTTACCCGTAAATTTTGAATGAAAACTGTAATAATACATTTCTTAAAGTGAATATAACTAGCGTAATCGATTTTGATAGTAGAAATAATTTTACTTCATCCATAAATGGACTATAATTATGGTATGAGAAAAGTAGAGCTAGCTTTGAAAAAAATGTATAACTTGTGATTTAATGACATCAGCGGCAGTGGCGTGTAAGTAAATGTCATAAATAAGCTGTACACTACCCAGGCCCTGGAGTCATTGGAGGTGCTGATGTGATCCAAGCGAGGTGGAATAAAGATAACTAACTTTTAGGAGCAAGGCGAAGTGATATCAAGTAGCATCGTGATGCCTTATCATATCACTGAGAATAAGAAAATTACCATCTCTTCCCAACCATATGAGAACTAGGATGATTATATATCCATTTAAAGAATTGCTTTTAATAAAAGTTGCATCTATATATACTCACTCAGAAAAAACAGACGTCAGAACCTAGTAAAGATGACAAACGCAAGAAAATTCGAGTCTAACTAATAATTCCCAAGATATGATCGTTGATTTAATAGATTCACAGGCAGACCAAATATTCGGTCATAAATGCGACTAATGAAAGTGAAATAGGTCGTTCTAATCGTCAAGTTGGTTGATCGTAGCAGACTCCTTGATCGCTTAAAGGATATCATCCGGGAATGTTTCAAGTCAATGGTCCGATGTTAGAAATAATCATGATCATTATTGCAGAAGATACAGGACTAAGTAAGTCCCACAAGGTCTTTTTCGCAAGATTAAGTTGAGAAGACGAAGTTAAACCAAGCGAGACTGTGAGTGTACATAATTTTGCACTATATTGGTCACTATCATTTTTGCCAGATTACTAAATGCTTAGGAGCAAATACGACTATATAGGATACAGAGATTATATAAAAAGGAAATGTCGGAAAGTGACAGACAATAGACTAGAAATTGAGTATTAAAAATATTGATAATGACGATAGATTGATTAAGTAATTCTGAGGCTTACTTGTGGCGGAAGGCCACGCATGGCCCTATCCATCATGCTCAGAGCCTTTGAAAGTGCTTCCCTGACTCCAAGATATCCGGTTACTTCGACGGGCAACTGGGCTTTCCAACCGGCGTACCAGCTAGCTACCTCATTAAAGACGCGGCCTGCTGTTACATCCCCACTGCGTCGAGCCGCCAAAGCTTGCGTTAGCCAAGCAGATAGAGTTGCCAACCAACGGGGCAGGAAGCAGCGCTCCAAAAGGTTAGCTAAGGGAGCTGGCCCAAGCAAATCCGACCAGCGCATTACCCAGTGCCAAGCCTCCATCGACTGTTTAGCCGGGTTTATCTAGCTCGCGATGAATGTAGAAACAAATATCTATAAGCACTCAAAGCAATGGTTGAGAATATAGCCATAACCATAACTAATAAGCTCAAAATAAACTTTACTCAAATCAAAAGAGCAACAGTGGACTCAGGTAAAATCAGAACATAAACCTCCAGATAAACATAAATAAAAAACATTACTAAGTCACAACCCCAAGAAGATAAAAGTAATAAAGATACGACTAAATAATCTTGATAGGATAGTTAAATCGTAAAGGGAAGTACGTAAGGACTAGACGATACTATTTGGGTAAGCT